GTACAAAATGCTACAGAGATGAGAACCTTACATGCATTTAAAGTTCAACTGGGTTGGGTCGATTTATGGTCATCAATGATTGGTTGAAAACCGCGTCGATATCTAATAGTAAATCGTTGTTATTTGATACATCATGTAGGTACCGATGTTAGTTTGGAAAATCGTACTTAAGTTCTCATGTCATAATTATGTGATCTAGTATCACTGTTGCCCGCGACTTCATCCGCGTAGAATATGACTTTTAGGACATAACTTCTTTTTGTTTTAATTTCCCAAATAAAAATGCCTAAACCTATGTTACTCCTTAATACCTGCCAGTAAAAGTCCTGGTAAAATCGGTCCAGCCCTTTAAATATTAGCCAGTACAAACAGAGAGACAGTTAAACAGACAGATAAAAATTTTAAAAAAATGTTAAACTGGTATTGGTGTCGTATGTAATTATGTATATTAATATGCATGTAGTAAAAAGCGGTTACTTCAATATTACAAACAGACACTCCAATTTTATTCATCAGTAGGTATAGATGTGAATAACAAATTGCAAAATATATTGGTAAGTGAAAATCCCGAGAACCGCTAGACTGTTAGACAATTCCTTGTTTGTTATTGACAAAATGGTAAAAAAGTAATAAACGAAAAATTCTCCGTCAAAATTGGTCGCTTAAGCGATAAAAATAATGGAAATGATGAGACGATGACAAAAGAAATTGACTATTAGCATTTAATACTTGATAAATATAAAAAAGAAGCCATTTAAAATTATAAACATTTCATTTATGGTATGCATAAATCGAATTCACTGTAGCGTGTTTATTGTATCCGAAAATCATGATAGCATCTACAATAAAGTAAATGCATTTAACGCTTTCTTATAAAAAAAGTCTACCTACTTTTTCATTTTACATCATACCTACTGCACTTGATAATTGAACAGTTAAGGTATTACGTCTATTATACAAGTAAAAACGGAAGCAGATTTTTCCATGCTTCGGGTTATGTAATAAAGTGTCCATTGGTACGAATAATGACTTACTGTTTTAAGTAGGTACCTAGCAATATGTGCATTTGGTTTCAACTATTCAAAAATACGTTTTAAAAATAATCTTCGTCTGAAGCGGAAATCGAACCCATACACAGGCCCACTGGCCAAACAAAGCAGTCTCTAGATGCTGAGGTTTCTTTTTCCATTCTGAATGACAAAGGAGTACGTTGTAGTTACACGACTCAGATGAGTATTGACGTAAGATGATGACAGATGACATTGACAGTACGGTAACCAATGTGTCAACGGCCTAATGCGTTAGTGAGTTTATGATGTATACCGCTGCCTTACGGTTACTACTCAGTCGGATCTCATGTGGGAATACGTACCGTAATTTTCGAAGCATTACGTTTAATAGATATTATTTTATTAAGTAGTAGATTATTACTGTGAAAATTATGTTGTTGATAGATAAGTAGGTACCTACCTATTTGAGTAGATTTTTAACCGACTTCCCAAAAAGGAGAAGGTTATCAATTCGGCTGTATGTTTTTAGTGTGTGTATGTTACCCTGATTACTCCGGCGTTTGTGAACGGATTTTGATGATTCTTTTTTGTCATTTACAAATGAACTGTAATTTTCATCTACCTAAACATTTATTTTTTAACATAAGTACTGACATATTACTAATTGGTTGGAACAATACGTGTATGGTATACGTATGAAGTAAAAGTATCTAATATTTAGGATAGTTTGTAGTGTGTGACACCTCGTCTAAAACAGTTTAAAAAAGATTAAAGACTTTTAACTCCCTATTTGATGTCCTGTTATCTGTATTTAGGTCAAATACAGCTCAAGGAGATAAAGCGATGTAGCCTGATGCAGGCTTTGTGCACGTTCCGTTCATCCGCATTCCCGGCTGGCGTCGTTTACATGGTATCGTTATGTGTTACTAGCGTCTAACGGAACGCCCCTAACTGTAGCGTTCCACGGCGCGCACTACGTACTACTTGCTATGTTAATAGGTCCATAATACTGTAGCACTTTTACTGGGTTGCCAAAATATTTGGGTTACTGTTATACACGGTGTGAAATTGAGTAAAACATTATAAATGTTTGTCTAGACTACCTACACATGTCGAAGGTTTTGGTGGGTAGTCTTAAGCGTTCTAGTGTGAATGCAAAGTGGTATTTTTTTTAAATTTTATAACAATTTTCGTACAAACAATACAACAGTAGAAATTTCTTTTGAAATCATAATAACATCACTCAGCAGATACCATCAAATAAAACTCGAACAGAAAGATAATTCTCAGTCTTACATGTCAACGTAGCAATTATTCGTAAAGTCATTTCCTCGGAGAAATAATAAAGTTATAATTAACTCCTGTAAACCTTAGCTAAGTAAACCATACCTCGTGGCAGTCGTGGCGAAGCTCGTTGAACAATGGGGTGAAACTCATCGATTAATTTCCACTAGAGGAAACCTTTGCACAATGGCTGTGGGAACATCATACTGATATAGTGATTACAAACGTAATGTTAGAAAACAAAATGTTTCTTTGTATTCATAACATTGTTGAAGTTGTTTCAAAAATAATTATTTCATCAAATAAACTGCTGATTCAGTAGCAAGCACGATTTTAAAGCGCTAGGTTCCAGTTCGATCACAGAGCCGAGTCGTGTCTATTTGTATCCACTTCTGTCTAATGCTTCTCTCACTATTACCACTCAAAATATAAAAAAATCTTATAAAACAATTATTTAATCTTAATATTTTTATACAATAATGACTTCATCGTCTACTTTCTAAATTATAACATTTTATTACAATTTTATGCCATGCTTTTTGAATAAATTTTTATAAATATTTATGATGATTACAACTTATGCTAGAATTATGTATAAAGATCGTCAGATGAGATCATTTGTAGAACATTAAGTTTTTACTGGTTTTCGGGCGTAACATTTTGGCCAAATTCATACTTATCCAATGTATCAGGTGTATAGCAAAGTATGGAACTTGAAATGTGTCCTACTTGTTGCGCGGGAGTATCTAGAACTCATACGGCAACTTACAGAAATAACGATTACTTTTTCAGTCCTATTTCTATAAATTTTTAATAAAATAGGTACAATATTTTATTTTTATTGACTATCCCCTGACACCAGGTTATTTTAGAACGCTCGATTGAATGAGGCTTGTGGGCGAGGATCTTAGTAACCCGCCAGTATAAAACATTACGGCCTTTAAATCTAGCACTTTATTGTCGAACGTGCCTCATACGCTATGCTAACTCGCAGATCGGACCGTATTTGAGAAACGGAAAATAGCACGATTCTGCTTAAAAAGAGAAACGTATTTTTTTATCTGTTGCGCCTAGGTGATGAATGGATGTTCAAGTAAGTACCTACGGGAAAAGTGAAAAAGTGCCTACCTGCAAATATATGCAGCACACAATATATGCAACTGCATGAGTAACCCTTCGGGGAATAAAAACTGAAGTTTTCAAATATTATTCAGAAATATGTAACCACTACTATGTACTTTCACCGCACAAATCCACAATGATAATAAAAAGTTGTATTCGAGTTAAAAGACAGGAACAGTTTTTTTGTAACGGCATATAAACAAAATTTCAAGCATTTTGCCTAATGACAGACCGACAGAGTCGACATAATGCGACCGTTTATCTTATTTTGTGTCACAATTCGGTACATTTCTGTTATACATTTCTTTTCCCTGGCCGTAATGAGATTAATAGTCGGCAGTGAACATTCACGACATTATCTACTAAAATAAAATAAAAGAAAGTCGTAAAATATAAAAGAATTGGAACATAAAGCGGTGCTAACCTTATTGTAACTGTATTAAAATTTATTGTTATTTTATAGCTGATGTCAATTTATATACTCTACATCCGTCGCAATTAACATTGGAACCATTCAGCCTCATTTAGGTCTTGCTGACAAACACGTAGTTCTTTGGTTTATTAGCCTATGGCTTTTATCTTGTTCTCAAATCAAAAATTATCTGCAAAGTTAATGTTCATGTTAACTATAACTAAGTAGCTCAAGTAATGACTTTGAAATTTCACATATTTTACAAAGTCTAAAAAGGTTAAACAAATAGAATTATGAAGAGGGTGGCTTAAAACTACCTTTTTACTGTTCTAGAACAAATATTTAATAACGGTCTCAAAATGGCTTACAATCGAACTGGTTTAGGCAGTTTTTTTATATCACGGTATTTTTTATAAATATCCATAAAGATCGTTGTATAATTTGTTCTATGATATCACTAAGATCACTATGGATGTCATAACGGCTCAGTTCGTACTGTAGTAAATCAATTCAAAACAAGAAATCGATTTGCTTGTCGTCGCGTAATCGTTATTTTCTATCACACATGTAATAGTTCAGCCCAAAATATTGAAAGGTTTTGAATAAATACTAGAACCTCGGTTATTTTAGCTATAAAAAGGCTGTGGATCCGATTTATTTTGGAACCTTAATCAAATCTGAATCTGAAGTACAGAAAACAAAAGTCTCTAAATAAATACCTACATTTGCCCAATATCTCATCGTTATGAACGTTTAATAGAGATTGATTGACATCGCTTTATCATATCCTACTTTCTACATCTTATCGTTTTAATTTTCGTTAAAGATCTTAGGTGTACGATACGATATCTTCTTTATATCTTCTCTGGATACGATGATCTAGTTACCTATAGATATGGAGGTATAAATTAATAAATATATAGATAATCAATAAATAACATATGTAGAAAGACATTTTTATTTCTTAAAAATAATAGAAATAAACCAAGCTGGATAAATCCGTCAGCCACAAAAACATTAATTTAGGCCTAATTTACAGTAATCTATAGCCGAGATCCTATTACACAAATATTTCGTATTACATTCGATTGTACTAGTTCGCGATCTCATCACAGTAAATTGATCATTATGGTATGGTTATACCTACTAGGTAGGTACTACCTGACTAAAAAATGGATGCCGATGTCGACGAACTTCCACAAAATAATGATACAAGTAAATTATGAAGACCATTATCTTCTGACAAGTTATTACATTTCGTATTAACGTTGTGTTAAATTCATATTACAATAGTGTACGCACCTGACACGAGACGCCATCTTTGAATGTCGGAAGATGGGAATGAAATAGGCGTAGCGGCTAAGAAATAGATTATTACAATTTGTGTTCCCCGTTATGTTAGTTCTCATGATATAAGGAATGACAGCGCATGACCATAATTGAAAATTACCGACTTACTGCACTGTACCTACCTACTTATTTTTTGGTTTGATTTGAAATTGAATGCATGAAAACATCATTACTTACATGTTTTGGTGACCTTTTCAGCGTTCGAAAGGCGAATCTAACAAATCATCCATGCACCAAATCTTGATCTCACGCTCAATAAAAATAGCTTTCACTTAAATCGATAATTTTATCGATTTCATCAGTATCGTGTGTTGTGCCCATCACTGCCAAATGATTTTACGCCTTTGATGGGTTGTGAATTTGCGACCTTTATACAATGTAGAGTAGGCCTCTTTGACAAACCAATTTAGGCATTAATTAGATTAATTACCTACCTACACGCGCTCCCTGTAGTTATTTCTGTTTCACAATATAGACAGGTAGTAGGTACCTACTGGTTTATTAATTAATTACAATAATGTAGCGGTGTACCTACAAATAATTTCATTAGAAATGCCTTTGTAGGATATATACGGTCAATCTTACCATACCTACAGTTACCTATAAACTTGTGGGTATTTCTCTAAAATACAATAACTTTAAAAACGATAGACACATATCAAGTATAAATCAAACAAGGTAGATACAAACACATACTTGTCTTGTCATAGTTTCTTTCAACTAAACTCTATTCTACAAATTACGTCAACAAAACAATTCGGTGGGTATTCTTTAATTCTTGTAATGACCCTTATTTTCACACGTGTGACGTTGAAGAGATGGTCGAGATCCCACAGACCACGGTCTCACATTCTTATACAGTTGTAATTGCCCACTAATTGTCAATTACGCAACATCACATAGCTGTTTATGTAATTGTTTTTGTTTGTGATAAACCCTGAGAGTTGGATAACTGTAAACAGAAGCATCAACGCACTTCAAATTGTCCCATAGTGTTGTAGCGACCTCTATCGATGCGTAAAACATTAAATAGTAACATTATCATAGGACTCTGTAACAGACAGACAGGTGCTTCTTTATGCTGGAGCTTTGTTCCCGGTTCGCGTGTGAAGATGTAAACGCTTTGGATGAGAACCCTTCATTATTAAAACTAGAAATAGGAATAAATTGTTCTTCTTTATTATATAGCACACATCTACGCTACAATTTTATTCTTTCCATCCTGTGTAATGTAGCATTAGTAAAACCATAATAATTTTTACATCGCTACAATTTGATTTATTTTTTCATAATTGTTATCACTTAAGTAGAGTTTTTTCACACGTTTTCTTGAAGACATATTTAGATGTGTAAAATTTTTGTATCGTCTACTTATCGTTTAACAGCTTTAAATTATACACAAGTCCTAAAGCTAGTATGCTACATAGCGACAAGAATCTTAAAGCTGCAGACATGGTAATTGTTGAGAAACTCTAGTGTGAATTACAATGATGACCTCTTAGTTATTATGACTCATTGAAGTTTATGCACAGTGAAGGGCTAAATTCAGATTAGAATAAGACTCAACTAGAGAAAATTTGCAGTTTGAGGCAAATAGCATTTAAATTTCCATATTAAGGCAAACATAATTCATGTTTAGATACATACTATTAAACTTCTGCATATAGGTCACCTCGATATATAGAGCAAAACTATCTAACGCCTAGAGTCGTGCACGCAACAGTGAAAGAAAAATACCAATCTACTTCTATTAAACAATAAATTTATCGAACAATGCATGACAGACGAAAGTAAGACTAAGTAGTATTTATCACAGCCAGAATCTCACGATACACTCGTAGATCACTGAGACCCAATTTTACTCTCCCGTATAAACAATTTAATTGTCTTTCGAACATTTCCTCTATCTAAATATACCATCGGAGATTGTTGACAAAGAGCGGAAATGTAACCGTATATTCCTAACAATATAAAAGGTATATGAGATTTTGCAGATTAATAGGAAGAATTAAGAATAAATCGTGTGTTAAACGCCTCGATGGCAAAGTACAATGGATAGCTTTTTCAAATATGGGTACTTAGCGCCCCTTTCAATATATCTCTGTCTAAGATTATGCTTAGACTCTCGGCTCGTTCAACGCCCTCAAAGATACGAGGCTTGTCCGGTAAGTTATTAGTGTCAGGGGTTAAAGGAAATATGTTAGGATTAAAACAGAGAGCCACCTTTTATTTTTAATGTTATCTCTGACTTGCTATTAAAATCATAACATAACATAACATCACGCCTTTTACCCACAAAGGGGTAGGCAGAGGTGCACATTACGGCACTTAATGCTATTAAAATCATGGTAAATTATACCGGGACATTGAATTTTTCTTAACCTTTAAAAAGGAAGGAAACCAACAGTCAATAGTAGACTATTATCCTACATTTATTTATAATTTTCAGGTATCAGAAACTTCAATTTTGTAAATTGTGTATTGTCTCAAATTGCTTTCATATCCGCCGCTGTAACCGCGATATTGACCGCAAATTGTCGATCAACCCGGCTAGACACACTAGTAGCGCCGCGGATCTAGTCCGTCTAGTAGTCGCGAACACCTTCGTATTTTATTATTAGATCGCTGTACTTAGATACTTACAGGTTCCATGAACTTTACTTTATTGCGTAATGAAAATAGCACTGGCTATAATATAACTTTAGGATGATGCGCGTTCAAGGATTAAGAACCTTCTGAAAGAACTTCTCTTATAACACTTCGTTTTTTTTATAATTGTTCCACAACTACCTCTATAAAAACAATAACTTCCTATTGAAGGAATATAATCATAAACATCCATAATAGGTACCTATCAAGCAGCCTTAGCTCATTGCGTGTTTCTGTACATTAAACAACATCTTATTATATCCTTAGGGAACTATCATAGTCCTAAATAACGGACCACAATGCCATAAATTTTTGCTTTATGTTCTTTTCCACTTTCAGGGCGCGCCAAGATGTGGCGTGCAATACTACTGATGTGGCTGGTGTCACCGAATCTGTGCCAACAGATCCAGCCAAACAGAGTATTCAGCGTGTCTACTATATGCGACAAGACATCCATGACAATTCACTTAGAGATGGCACAACCCTTTAAAGGACTTGTCTTTAGTAAAGATTTCTCGAGAGAATGTCGAGTTCAAGGTGAGTTCCTACATCCTTACTTATATTATAAATCGGAAAGTGAGTTTGTTTGTTTGTTCCACTTTAACGCCGTAACTACTAAACCGATTGCTTTGAAATTTTGCAGACGTAAAGTTAGAAGTCCGGATTAAATAATAGGGTAGGTACCTACTTTTTATCCCTGAAAAATTTGATATTCCCGAGGGAAAACAAAAGTATTGGTATAGATGGCGCTGTGTGTATTGGTATATGTCACATTGGTTTTTATCCTTTTGTGACGCGAGCGAAGCCGCGGGTAAAAGCTAGTATTATAATAATTTCCTTATTTGACCCCAAACAGTCCTCGCGGAGGCCTATTATTCATAATTTCAAATTAGACCAAATCTAAAGTGAAGTATCGTGTTTTTGATAAAACACAATAAACGTTTATACAACAATAAACAAAATTAGAGTTCTAATCTGCACGTTCTAAATTTCAGGGAGCCATCAGAATAAAATCACACTAAATCTGCCATCGAACGCGTGCGGCGTGAGGACATCGACCATGAACACCACAGTGGAAGAGCCTGATGACGATGAAGATTTATATTACAACGTCGAGTTAGTTGTTCAGATGGATAGGCAACTGCAGCAATCATCTGACCAGGAGCTGTTAGTCAGGTGAGAAAATAAAAACTGATCTATGTAATTTATTAATATTGGCGAAGTTACCTATATATATAGTATACCTATTAAATTATTGTAAAAAAATATTTATTATCATGATTATGTTCATCAATTAGGATTAGTAAGAACCTACTTAGTTACTTATAAGCTTTGTGTCAACAAAGGCAAAAATTATAAAAAACAAGATATTCTAGCATTATTAAAAATAGAAATGGTAAGTAGTCTAGTTTATTATCTAATGTTAATTATTGTGGGAAAACATTAGCAAAGGATCATGTACCTGAGTAAAGGTGGAAAAAATCTTACGTAACCAGATTCAACGATAAATTCAAGTCTTAGAAGCAAGGTGCAAGGCCATTAAAAATCTAGTTCCATGCGGAATGCGTCAAGTGCTAGGTGGACATAAAAAATAATGCAACTTCTGATAACGTCTCCTGGATTTCGCAGAACGTTGCATAAAAGCTCGATAGGATTGAAGTAAGGTGAGCTAACTCTGCGGAATTATGCAAACAAATTCGTAGATAATGCTAAAATGTACAAAATAAATACTTTTATGGGGTGTTACTTGAACATAGTTGAATGGAATCAAAATCAGTTAGAATTCTCTATTTTTTAATGTCCATGTGATATTTTGTCCTTGAATACCTACTTAAGATTATAAAAAAAAATCACATCATTTGATACTTAATTTAGATCTATCTATCTACCTATCTAATGATCATTGCATCCTTCGAATTCAAGGTGAAAACTAGTTACTTACCAGTTAACTATTCCTAGATCCATAATCAAAATTAGTTGAAAGAAACACTTTACATTCATATTTTGTGATGAATTTCAGATGTAAATTACAACCTCGAGCGGTTCGCATCAACAGCTCTGCATTAGAGACGGTAATCAACAATAAATTACGCGAAATGACTACAAGGGAGGCGAAGAAAACAAGGTAAACTTAGACTACTATGTATTAGAATACTAGTGTGTTGCCAAGTTAGCTTAGTGTAAGTTGAACAGGTCATCACACGAATATTAAGTTCAAAGCAACGATGTTTTTAACTATTTATTACATTACCGGCTATGGGTAGGTTACTTATGACTGCAATAAACGCTTCTAGTAGAAGTAATTCAATTACTCGATTTAATAAACAAGAGAGAAATCTACTTACATTTCGTGATTTTCAGTTTATATTTATCATGGCTAATGGCACTAACAACATTATAGGTGTGCCACTTAGGTAGTTAACGAAAAGTTGGATAACTTTTTATCAGTAAAATACTCCTAATATTTTTCTTTCCAAACGGTATTTGTATGGAATTTTTCTATTATAGAACTGGCCGCAACCGTCAAGGTTTCGCGAATGCAGCAGAAATAGAGCAACGTGAGTGGCTGATGGCAGCAGCGCGAGCTTGGATGGAGTTAGCACCAGCGGTGTCTGCTGCTGAGCCTGCCACTGTCGAAGTCGGACAGCCCACCAGACTACTTATACAATGCACATTGCCTGGTAAGCGTGAGAGAACTTTCAAAAAATAGGATTGTCGAAGAGCCAACAAGCTTAAGAATGGGGATGATGACAGGGTATGAAAATTAAAAATATAATTAGTCCGTAAGTTAGGTAATGAAAAAATATTAGACACGTATTTTTTTATTTTGTCGTATAATAAAACAATACTTAGATAAAACGAATCAAAGTTTAGGAGTGGGGGCTAAAACGTCATTTCTTAGTATAAAATGTACCTACTGAGAAGTGACGTCACGCGACATTTCAAATCAATATATCTTCGAAACTATTCGTTTCTGTGAGAAAAGAAAGAATACGTGTCTAATGTTTTTAAATAATCTACCAGGACATTAAAACATTAAAATACATTAAAATAAAAATTAGTCGTCTCCAACAAAGTAGTTTTCATCAATTTACTCTATATTAACGAAAGATAGGTTTATCCCTAAATTACCTAAACCAGGTTGCAACTGAAACGGACCTTGTAGAAGTTGGAAAACATTTACCTAGTTAGTATTTACGGGAATGAATAACCGACCCCGATGATGTAGATACCTAAGTAAATCTGACTACCCACTGAAAGAAAAAATTACTTAGTATTCAAATAAATAAATTATGCTAGCGTTATAATGATAGATAACGGAAGACGCCCATTAAACTAAGCTAACATGACTGATGATACCAGTAAAGGTAAGCGCCTTGAATACAGGTTGAGCAATCGTGGTTTGACTACGAGTGTAGGTATGACATGGTTCAGTAATTTTAAATATTATTATGTTTTTATAAAGTGCTTAATTTTTATTTAATTTTAACTCCGTTTTTGTGGATTGAGAGATAATCTGAATATAAAGCACAAATTATCGCATTATTTTGAAAAGTTCCGTTTTTAATGGGATAATAACCTAGGTAGTTTATCAATAACTCAAAAACTCTAATTCTAATCCTCTGACTCAATGGATGTTCTCATAATTCAATTGAAAAATTATACGCTGACTAAGTGTACTTATTACTCAATGCCTATCCTTGTTCCACAGTGGGCGTGGGACTCCGAGTAACAAATTGCGTCGCTCACGATGGTCTAGGAGAAGCATCGCAGAAATTACTTGACGACGCTGGCTGTCCTATCGATGAATCTATCTTCAATAAACCATCGATCCACCACCACAAACACAAAAGCACAGAAATTGACTTTTCTGACCTAGAACCCGTTGATCTACAGAAGAATATTGACGAGAAAACAACAATTAAACTAGAAAAATCCGACCCCGATAATATGTTCAAGAATATTATGACTTATCAACACGCAATCACTACTTTTGCAGCTTTCAAATTTCCCGATAGAGCTAAGTTACATTTAACTTGTGGAATTGAGCTGTGCAAAGGGCAATGCCCACCTGTGGACTGCAAAGCTTTGCAGAAACCCCAACAGACCAGAGATGGACTGCTCAGGAAGGCTCGATTGGATAAGGATTCTAAGGGGATCGTAATAGATAGACTAGAAGTTTATAACAGCATAGAGGTTCATGCACCTAATATTGAATTAGAAGATGAAGCTTCCATTAGAGGTAGGTTTTTAGAAGATGTGTCATGAAGCGATTACAAACAAAAGTCATTTCAAGTCCAATATGACCACATTCTTCTTATTTGTTACAGGGTCAAGAAGAATAGAATCAGAAGAAGACGAATTTGTGCGAGGATTTTCACCGGGAGACAAAACAATTTGCTTATCACCAGGGAAAATGGCGCTAGCTTTCTGCGTCCTTGGAATCATTTTTCTTTGCGCAATCGCTGTGGCCTTCATCTCCTTGGTGCGAGCTAGACGGCGTCTTGGAAGAGAGCCGTTGCACACATCTCTATCTTTCTACACAGGAAGCAAGAGCATGTTTTCGTCAAGCGAGAGTTCCAGTTCTGGTCTTAGTGGTAGCAAACTTCTTTTAACTGATAGTCCTTATTTAGACCACCATTCGTCTTCCAGCAATAATTGGCCATATTCTAGAGCTTTCTGACAAGCGGCTCGTCGGCGTGACGTGGGTTTACGCGAGTTTTACTAGAGCGAGATGAATCTCGCTTTTCTCTCAAAGTCAGTAGAGGTTTATGTATTGGCAAAAAACTAAGCTTCTCATATCGAAGCAAAAAGTACATTATATACAGGTGTGTATCTCTATAAGCACCCACTTAGACTTCTATTTTTTCATCTATGGGTTGTATTTCTAATTAAAAGAAAATCTGGTAAATTGTCAATCTTAATAAAAAAAATACCTAATACGTATTTAGTGACTGGTTAAACTTTCAGACCAAGTTACAATTTATCTAGATAAAAAGGTTGATAAAAAACATTTCATTATATTCTTCATCTATTTACTTTGACTATCTGGTGACAGTAGTGGTCACACCTCAAACTCACAAAAAAGAGGCTTTCATTTTTTTTACAATTGCAACAAGAAATTGTTTGCCAGTGAAGAAAATATTTTAGTAAGTAATTACTTCCTTTTCAATAAAATTAAACTGAAGACTGTACTTAAAGGTACCTCCCAAAGCTTGTCCATTTCTAGCTTCTTAGTTAGTAAGAGACTATTTATTTTTAATTTGGTTTTTCGACTTATTGTCGTTTGAGGCGGTGCTTCTGATGTGTTCTATAGTAGATGCAGGGGTAAAATATTAAGGTCAATTTGGATTTGTTTTTCTCTAAGTTTATTATATTAATTCTATAATCATCTTTAACTTGGAAAAACCCTGTACACAAAGTTCTTATGCTGTATTACTATGTGTGTTTAAAACAAAACACAATTATTATTACACAGGATTGAGAACATCTTTTGTTTTCTGTCAATTCAAACGTTAATTGAAATGTTATCGATCTTAATTTTTACATTTACACCTGTATTAAAATAAAATCATTAGCACTTCCTCGAAAATTAGTAAATAAGAAACCTAGATATAATCTATTAATTTAAGAACATTCAGATTAAAGAATGTATTATTTGTGATGTGATGATAATATTTATGTTTATCATGGATGTTTGGATGGAAATTTTATATGTTTATACAATTTGTATTAAAACAGTAAATGAAAGTGAAGCTATGTTTTATTTTTTCATGTAGTGGGACTTGACCTTTCTATTGATAGGCATCTATTTTGTTTGAAACAATATCTGCAACTACACTCATAGTCAAAAGTAACAATAGATAGGTAGTAGGTTCTCTAAAAAGTTTATAGTATCTAATATACAATTACTTCACGCCCAACTATAGTAATAATCTATTGAATATTAAATAATATGAATGCACTTACTCTCTTCTACTTGATTAAGACCCCACTTAAAAAGAAAAGTTAAATATTAACGATAGACACAACCACAACGCCCAAATAAAACTACTAATTTGAATTCCCGCGTTTTTCTGACTGACAGATAACATAATGACTTTAGTGTGACACTAAGAATCCATAGAATAATCGACTAAACCACTTTTCTTTATTTAAGTGTGCATTTTATATTCTTATTATTTATTTGAAAGTTGCTACTCGATACCTACCCAAAATCGCGAACAAAACTTGTAAACCTTCATTCATTTTTTCATTTTGACTCAAGTAGAACTTAATTTCAACATTTTTGGTCTACTACAATAGTGATGGGCAAGAGATTTAGTATGTAATAAAATAATTTATGTTTCGTGGATAGATATGATAGATATGAAGAAATTGTATTAAAAGTAAAACTCTCGTAAATAACCGTTACAAAAGCGAAATTAATAGTTTGGATTTTTGAAACCATAGACAAAAAGGGAGACGGGCGAAATGGAAATGGACGTCACTTGATAAACTCGTAGATGATGTCATTTAGACAAATTGCCAAAGAATAAAGTTTTCGGAAGGACAGACAGGACAAATTTCCGACTGTGCCTGAAAATATATGTAATGCCTATCCAAAAGATACTTATTTGAAAAAATTCATTATCATTTGGTTCGTTGTTATGATAATAATTAGTAAGGTCTTTTGTTTGTAAATTTATTTATTTATTTGTATTGCACAATGTACATATAATAAAAAGTAGGTATTACATACTACTAATTCAGTACCCTGTTAGGGCGCAGCAATTTAAAACGTTACAAAATTTAATGTTAGCTGAAATTTATAACTATTTCTTAGAGCTATAACTATACCTATATATTAACTATTCTATCGTTTTTTTAATCTTTATTTAAGGAATTAAGTCACATAGTGATAATGTCATTATAAAAACAATATTTTTTTACTTGAATATATCTAATTAGTTTTGTTCATTTATTCCACAAAAGGACGAAATATACATCATTGATTCTAAAATTATTTTTGATATTTGAATTGTCTTTTGACAATTCTTTCAATTACTTTCCTGAGGAATTGATTTCTTTCTAGATGTTAAAATCAACACCACAGAATGTAGGTAGGCATCATATTATCATATTATCAATAATGATACTTGACATGTCTGTTGTGCATATTTTTATAATCTATGTGATGAGCGGCGCGAAGGTGGATGCTTTCGCGGTCGGTCTTTCGCTTCGCCTTCGATGCCGTGTTCGTACTCGCAGTCACGGATGATATTCCAACGAATTCTACATGAATAGCGATTATTTATAAATTTCAAGTCATAAGTGTTATGTTATCTATTCTGCAAGTAGATTTGAAGACTGATTTTAAAGTGTTTGTGCTGTGGATTTGAATTGGGTACGATTGGCTACGGTCCCGCATCCAAAGTGAAATATTTTGTGTGTGCCGACGATTTATGTGTATAACCCGGCTAAAAAACCATTTCTGGACCTATAAAAGAAGGTATGTAAAATATTTATTTCATAAAACTGATAAGATTCTGTTTTGAAAGTGGAGGTCGATGTCATCACAAGCCCGAATTTTGGATTGGTCTGTGCACTTTGCTCTTAAATTTTGTAGTTAGTATCTACTTTCTGTACCTACCCAAACTATGCAAACGATTGATTGATAATCAATGTAGAAGACTTTTAATTTGAAGATTTGGGTCTTGGTGCCTTTCTCTAATTGCTTTCAATTGGCTTAAGTAGTACTTCGTTCCTGGTATCTCGTTTCATTTGGGTAACGCCTTGAATGAGTCGCCGCCTGTGCCCGCCAAGCCAAAGCCGCTAGAGTAAGTACCTACCTACCTACTTAAAGGAAAGGCCACTTCAAACAATTGTCTCAGGAATGATACAAGACTTGAATCAAACATCAATATTATTTTTAATTCTAATTAGATTTTGCTGAAATTCTCATGCCTACTATTGTTCCATTATCAACATCTTTCTCTAGAATTAGATATAATGTATGTATTCCAATTTTTGTTGATGATGACAGAAAAATATATTTGGGTTAATAAGGTATTTTAAAAAAAACTAAATTTTTATCAATTAGAATTTGAATGTTCTAAACGTAGCTTGGGCAGGTACATTTATATCTTATCTAAATGAAGTCTATAGATTCTGTAGATGTATTAAAGTAGTTTTGATATAATTATGCTTGTTTGCATTTTTATAATGTAAAATATAAAAACTTAAATTAGCTTGAACAAGTAGTATGTGATATGTGAGACTTGTGATTTAAAGAAAAAGACTGCTCAAACCATTTGTACTTGTTCTTGTATTCAGTGTAGTATAAAATAATAATTAGAAATTGCAACTGAAAAAATTGTAAAGTTAGTAATGTAAAAGTTACACAATTTTTTTTCACGTTGAATATAGTAGTATTGATGAATTCTAAAAGCCACTTGTATTTTGGTTAATCAAGTAACAAGCACTGTACTAAACCTTTCCATCTTAAAAACCTGAATTCATACATTGATTGACTAAAGTAAAAACAAAATGTCTTGTATGCTTTTTCAAAGTCACCTCAAAACTTTTAAAGTTATTTGTTATTAACTGGAGCCAACTTTAAACAATTATATAATAAATACTTACTAGTTACATAATTAAAGCAGTTATTATAAAATCGTTAAGTAAACAGGTGTAGTCTCAGAGTAATTATTTATCTTGCTACAGCCATAATGTTATCAGCATAGCGGTGCAACTAGGGCGTGACTTTGCGTTACAATGCATTGAAACACTTCTTGATTGAGGATTCTATGTTTTTGTTAGATTGCTACTCATTGTAAATTGTGATTGATTTTCTCTTTGACATAAGTGTTATTGAGAATAATGTTGCATAATTCTGGATATTATATTGCGTGACGTCAGGACGTTCAGGTCATTATATTGTCAATTTGCAGATGCATCTCTATCAAATAGATCTTTAGATATTTTATTTATAGAACTGAAGGTGTTAAATTATTAATTTCAAGAAACAACAAATTGCACAATAGGCTGATATGTAAAATAAACAAATTAACTATATCTGATACATGTAACACACTAATTTGTTGAATCATGCTAATGCAGCATAATAACTATTCAACTGTGACTAATTTCTTCAATAATCTTTGGTTAAATTGTTTTTTTTATTAGAACTTGGCATTTTCCTTCTTCTATCTGTGACCTATAACATAAACCAAAGTAAAAACCTTCATAATGCTGACAGTGTTGCTCATTAAGATTGTGTATTTGTAAGCAATAGGTATTAGTTTAAAGTAAGCATCCATTGTGTGATTTTCAAGGTCATAAAGAGCAATTATAGGTGTATGCTAAGATTGCTAAGTAAATATTACCTTGTAATTCATTGCTCATCATGTGCAAAAATACCAAACAGCATTTTTAATCATATGAGCTCAGTTGTTTGTGAGCGTAGGATCCGAGGAATGAAGAGTCTGTTCTATGAAGGGAGCAATATGCCTTAGGTTATGTGTGATTCAACAGGACATCAAAGCTTTGCCTTTGGTTGCTTAAAAGGAACATCTTTTTCTGTGATCCTTCCTTATTTATGAGAGTTTTCTATGATAGTCTTATTCAAATAGCAAATTATTTAGGTAGCTTATGAATATGCATCTCGAAAATGTCATTGTGAAAGTTGGAAGGAAAATACCTTGAGAAATCCGAGTTCAGTTACTGATGGTGTTGTCTGGTACTGAGAGTAAATTCTATTTTAAAATATTCTTTTCATATTCACAACAAAAATGTTAAAATTTACTCTATTTTTGGTATTAACAGAGTTCATTAGAATTTTAAATTTTATGTTTCATTTTACCCGACTATGGTAAAGCAAAAAGTAAATTAATAAGCATTTTTATTACCTCTTTATAATAATAATATTAACACAATCTAAATACATTTTGTACAAAATTTTTAGAATGTAAAATAACCATATACATATTGTAACACAACATGTTTGATAAACAAACAATCAACTGATAGTTTGATACATCTGTTGTGAAATGTCTGTCCTTGCAGCCAGATGCTTCATGTAAAGTGCATTTATGTGTTCAGTGGAATTTTTATAACATGATCCAGTTGGTTAGTTAGATGATATCTTAAATGTGGATTATAAAGAGGCATTAACATGTTAAACACTATTTAAACAACGAGGGCAACATATGGGCCATATTCTGGGAGGATTTAATTATCTACAACACTTTTCGGTTAGAAGTCCTCAGGCCTAATGTTATTATATAAGCCTTAATTTGCATAGCACGACCTGGCAATCGAACCATTGCTCGACAGTCCACTTCAACCTCCAAGGGAGAGGTTAAATCGCAAGTAAATCATAAAAAACAGGATTTTTAAATTAATAAAAACATAAGCCCATGTTTCAATTTCGAGAAATATAATATTACATTAATAACTGCCCCATAACCAGTATCTTATGTTGATATCCGAGTTTTCATACAAAACGTGACTGCACCAGCTTTCAATAAAGGCACGTCGTTTAACTCCTCAGTTACATCAGCATCAACATTGTAGTAATATTGTATCACAAAATGTTACAATGCCATTCACATCACTTGTGTGAGATATACCCGTTTTCAATGTAAACTTGTATTGACATTTTTTGGCTTCTCAAATGCACTGGGTATGAATGGGCTATTGTATGATTAGACGAAAAAAAACCGTACCTAATAACTCAGATAAATTAGTTAGGTCGATTTGGTTTCATTGAGTATTTACTCAGCAAACATGAATAACTGGTAAACAGTCCTATAATTTTAGCCGAAAATAAAATTTCGTAGGCCAGTAGCACTATTGATTAAGCAACTTGTCCTGGATATCTGAGTTGTCATCAAAACACGATGGTTCAAGTGCATTAATTTCTTATTCTACCTAATTAATCTCTATTTTTGTCGCCTGCAAATCCGTCCCTTAATTTCTATAAGAAGTTTCCTGTGTCGGCATCTACAGGGGGTAACGGGGTTTGCGTGGCGCGTCCCACAAGGTCGGTCTGCCTCATTCAGAAAGAGAGGGGTGATCCAGTGTTTCCATCTTTTTGACACAGATTCACCCGCAAACATGTTTAAGAAAAATTACTGAATTTTCTTGTCCACACCAAAACTATAATCCAATAAGATTAGATAATTCAAAATGTTTTTAGTTTTCTAAATTAACAGCAATTATAAATTTAAATTCTAGCTTTAAAAAAGGATTTGCGTTTATAAAAAGTCAATTTGATTCCCCGTTATAAATGCTGTATTACACAGGGGTGGTGAACTAGAGGGGTGGGGCGTGCGTGCACTAGGGATATACGGCCCGCCGGCGCCAGGAGTTGGATCGATATTCCGGCCCACAGCTCACTCCGACGAGTTTGAGTCGCGACGCGCTTGTGTGCTGTGCCGTTCCCAAGTTCTGTGCTCGTGTGTTCGTACTTTGAGAGATTTATAGAACAAGTGTTGTGAATTTGTACGTTTAGATTAACGTTCGGAGATGAGATAGTCCTCACTACTTATCGGTATGTGTATTTGCAAATTTAATGAATGAGGCCACCGTTCCATTTAGGGTTACAGGTTTCCGGTGTTTAGTGTCTGTGATACTTGTTGGTAGATCAATAGTGCGTTTCACCTACTGATGTCACCAGTGTTTGAGGATATTGGTTCACAACATGATTAAAACACATTTCCAGCTTAATCTGCAGACATCAGTGTCCATTTTTTATCGGCAACACGAAAAAATGTGTATCGATAACCGATTAAAATTTCTGTAAGAGAATAATAGGTGGTATGATCACGAAATGACCAATTTTCTTACATTAAATATGTGTTAAACAGTAGAATGCTATCTAATATTTAGAACATTTGTCTTCAATTAGAAAAATTGTCTCAAAATTTTATAATTCCCATTTAAAACTGCATGTGAACAACCAAACTAATTATCATTCTAGGTTATGACTAGATAAGCAAAATTGGTTATTCGCTTGATAAAATTTCTTGACCTATTTAGTTGTTAGATCGTCTGGGCAGAGCAAATATTTGGTTGGCTACAATAAAGTCTCCCACAGTGCGCCAATTAGCGGTTCAACCTTTTGACCTGTGTCTTGATGCATACATTTGAGACGTTGATGTCGTTTTATCTAGACGAGGACTCCAGACGGAATTCACCGGGTGCGTTCAGAAATCTGTCGTTATTTGCAGAGCGGTTGCGCCCCGCCCCCTGCCGTCATCGAGGTCAGTCGCGCAGACGTACTGAATCAACTGTCCGATACTGCTTCATGTTAGGATTATAATATAATGTACCGTACTGTGTACTATACTCTACATTTATTATCATTCATTTACCTGATTTATAATTTGGCAGCAATTTCATCGTGTTACGCACTTGTTATCCCATGTCTTAAAACAGTGCTCCTAAGTAGGTATATCTTGTCGTATCATACTCAGTAAAAAATTTCATGATCTTGAAATAAAACCT